AAATTTATAAATGCAGTTTTTTTTTTGCAGAGAACACAGGAGGTTAAGGAGAGGGATAGTCCCAGCATAGAGAACAGTATAACAGTTGCCGATGATGATTATGTAGGGACGTAAGTCTTTGACATTTGCTGTACTTTAAGTAAATTCGCATATCTATTTAAACTACGAAATTCAAGAGAAGCATTCCTTGTTGGGCACACTACTACAGCATCGCCACGTCGTGATCTTCCTGCCGCAAGAAAAATTGCAGAATCAATGACGCATAAAGTGGATAATGCACACTCTGTGGATGAAGAGACAAATGCAAGTCCTTTCGAGGAGGAAAGTTCAGAGGTACAAAATTTTGTGTTAAGTTTCAAAATATTGCAGGAATAGCAGTGACAACTAATGATTGTTTTACTCGTTGAGTTCATTTTCACCTTTTATTCATTTGGTCCTGAAAAGAACATACGTAGCATAATCACTGCTGCCCTAATGCATTTCTAGGAGGGCATATATGTGTTTATAAAGATAATAAATTTTGCTCAGCTGAATCGAGCGCTTCAATCTTTTCCAGTCCTTTTTTCCACGTGTCTACTTTGCTATATTTGCTTCTGAAGCAAAAATTCATTGACACTTTTTAGCAATAGTTGAACTGTCTAAACTCTTTGAAAACTTTTTATTTTGCCTAAACGATCACCATGAATGCAACTGTTTTAGGTTTTAAACTATATATACTTTTGACTGCGAAAGGTACCCTTCATCAAGAGAGCTTTGAATAAGATGTAGATGAACACATATTTCCAGAAGGAGTCTTTATTTTAGCAAACTAACAATTTGTAATCTATTTGAATCCGACAGGAATTAGGAATTATCAATGGCTGCCTCACAAAAATTTCGCTATTAGAGGTTGTAATCCATTTTCCTTCTATCTGAGCCTACACTAGACCAAGTGGAATCATTTACCACAACTACATGGAAAAATTTCAAGAAAACTTCACATAGGAAAGGAACCTTTAAAAGTTTCATATGAGAATAAAAAATGTATTGGCGCAAAAATGCAAGTCTACT